GAAGCTACTTTACAAGAAGCAGTTCTTGTTATGGTTGGTTCATCTATTGGTGTTTTATCTACTGCTACTACAGCACAAGCAGAATTAATTCAACAACTCCAAAACTCTGAAACTGCGAGTGGTGTTCATAGAGATAAAGAATATGCAGAGGAATTAATTAAAGCAGTAGAAGATGTTAAAAGTACTGCAATTGAATTACAACAAAAAATTAAAGAAGATAATGTTAATTCTGATGAATTAGTTAAAGTAGCTGATAAAGTTGGTAAGAAAGTGGAAAAAGTTGTTGTGTCTTGTAGAGCTGGAACAAGAACTAAAGGAAGAAGTCATAAATACAAAGATCTTTTGGATGCTTCAAAGAAACTTGCTGATGCCACAAAGAATCTCTTAGAATGTGCTAAAAAGGTAGATGAATTTGATGATACACCTGTTGTTGTTCAAATGAATTTACCACCACCACCTCCTCCTGTCACTGAAGTTGAGGAAGAAGAAGATATCGAAACATTTGGTATTGACCAATATACTCTCAAAGAAATTGAACAACAAAAGAAAATCTTTGAATTAGAAAAGAAATTAGAAGCTGCCAAAAAGAAGAAAGCAGATTTAGAAGAACTTGCTAAATCTTTCCAAAATTAAATCACTTTTTTTACGTTCAAAAAATAAAAGTTATTTTATTTTTTTTTTTAATTCATTAAAATATCTTTTTTAAAAGCTTGATTAGAAGAGGAAAGTGACAAGTGAAAAGTATCGATGTTTGAATGATTAATTCTGATTGATGAAAAAATGACAATCCCAAACCCTCCAGATCACTAAACTCATAGACTTTATGTGCTTCTTGTGTGACATCCAAACCGCTAGAAACCAATTAACTCCCCATGATGAACGACCCCAATGCCTTCTTGAGGAAGGAGTCAATGTACTAACTCATTTGTTTGGGATTTTTTATGCTATTTTTATATTTAAGATGTTTAGAAGATATGCCAAAAAACACAATTTAAATAAAATGAACAACTTAGCAATATTGTGTTTCTGTCTTGCTTCATTTACTTTATATTTCAATTCTACAACTTATCACTTATTAAATATTCTTCTTCCTAACAGTATTTGTCTTAGATATTTCTTTCAAAGACTAGACCATATCACTATTTATATCATGATTTCTGGTTGCTATTTATCATATTGTAATGATTTGGTTAAAGAATAAATCAATTAGACATATCCTGATGGTAAAATTTTACCATCATCTCCTCGAACCATATCTTTATAATTCCCTTCAATATAATAATTAGGATTATGAATTGGTGTTTCGATAAATGTTCTTAGATGATAATAAGAATTCATTCTTTGTGGAATGAAGAATGGGAATGTTTCAATTGGTTTAAACGTGCATACTGATGTAAACGCATAATTGTCTTTGATAGTTTTTCCTATTATTTTTGACATAAACGCTTGTTGGGTAGATCTATGTGTTACAAAACATACTCTTTTATATTTTTTAGTTAGTTCAAGTATTGTTTTAAATGCTCGTTGCTGAATTTCTTCCCATGTTTCTAATACGACTTCCTTAATTATTGGTTGATATTGGTCATCATAATATGGATCTTTATATTTAATTGGATCAAATTCTGGTACTTTTTTTCTATTTACTTTAGACAGAAATTCACTTGCACCTGGCTCTATTCCATACTTCATATTATTATATTTTGCTATTTCTCTTGCTGTTCCTGTTGCTCTTAAATATGGTGAACTAACAATAACATCAATCTTTTCATGTCTCATTCTTCTTCCTACTTCTTCAGCTTGTTTAATTCCATCTATGTGTAATGGTGGGTCATGTGGATATTGTGCTGTTGGAACCCATTTTAAATCGATGTAGTCATGCCTAACTGCATGACGGACAATGAATAACTTTGGTTGGTTTGTGTATTCATTATGTAATTCTTGAAGATTATTAATTAATTTATCATACTCTTCATTAATCTCTTCATTTCCTTCTTTCTCTTCTTTTATAATACTAATTTTTGGTAATTGGTCATGTGTGTCATTACAATCAAAGGTAAATAACATCATTACTCCTTTTTTTCCTTTTATTTTTTCTTTTTGCTCATTCATTAAATCAATATATTCTCCAATAATTTCATAATGTTCAATTTCTTTATCTTTTATAATTTCCTTAAATCCTTTAATAACTTTATCATATTCCTTTGAATTAATACATTTGATTTCTTCTTTTATGTCATCTCTTTCATTCATGTTGATATAAATAATTATCCCCCGTGGATTTTCATAGTCTTTTGTAGTGTTATGATATTCTTCCATTTCGCTTAGCTAACCAACGCTATTTTGGAATATTTTATTTTAAGTTCTTTTTAAATAAAACTTATTTGTCATCTTTAACTAACATGTCAGTTCCACCACGTTCATGGCAAAAACCCTCTCAAACTCATCCCCACCAACAACCAGCCTCACCGCAAATGAATACACCACAATACTTATCACCATATGTTCCTCCAATTTACCCACCAATTTTTACTTCTCCATTTACACAATTTGGAGGGATAGAAAATGAAATGGCTCAAATTTTAATGACAATAGGAATGGGTAAACCACTTATTGTAAAAACAGGACAAATAATATATCAATTCATTCATGAATTAAAAATTGATAACTTGGTAATTAGTTTATGGAAAAAGATAGAGGAGATTCCTATAACTATTCCAATTAAGAAGATGTTTTGGAAAATATACATAATGTTGGTAGGAGAAGAAAAGAACGACAGAAGTGGATATTTGTTTTTGATTGGAATATTTTTAATGATTCCTTATCTCCACCGTAAATTTCATAATCCAACAATCTCTTTTCAATAATTTATTCTTTTTTCTTCATTAAAATTTGTTCCATCTTCCTTTGTTGAATTTATAAACACACAACAGAAAAAGTAATTCTTTTTGGTCTTTTAACACTCAATTATTATTAACTTTTCTTTATTTAATTATCCTTTTCAGTACTTTTATTTCTACGAAGTCCTAAAACGATGTTTTGAACTAAATTGTCCATAGATTCACTACTTTCTTCTGAAGTGTCATTATGGTTGTTTACAATATTGATTTTAGTAGTTCTTTTCTTTTCTTTTTTTGTTTTATTCGTTGCTTTTTTAATACCTTTACTTTCTTTTGACTTTTTTAACTCTTTAATACCTTCACTTTCTTTTGGTTTTTTAATCTCTTCACTCTCTATTAATTTTTGTAATTCTTTAATACCTTTATCTTCTGTTGGATCTTCAGTTTCTTTTGATTTTTCTAACTCCTTAATACTTTCACTCTCTATTAATTTTTGTAATTCTTTAATACCTCTATCTTCTGTTGGATCTTCAGTAATACAAGATTGTTTTTGATTTTGAGCATTCTTTGGAACGCGTTTATTAAATCCTGCTACATTCATACGTTTAGTAACAACCATAACTTCATTTTTTCCAATTCTTGTTCCATTAAAACTCATTATAGCTTTATTTTTATTTTCAATAGAATCCATTTCGAGGTAGGCATACTTCTTTGAGATACCAGAGTGATTAACTGGAATAGTAATTGATATAACCTTACCAACAGTTGAAAAAAGTTTTATTAAATCCTCTTTTGTTGTTCTAACATCAAGATGAGTAATACAAAGTGATCTACGATCTCGATCTTGTTGTTCTTTACTTGGTACATATTTTGATTGATAAGTAGAAATTTTTGGAGCTTTTTCATTGGTTTGGTCTTCCTTTTTTTGAGTTTTTTCACTGTGATCAACACTTACTTCTTCACTATCCACTCCTTCAGTTTTATGTTGTTCATCAGTGTTCATTTTATTTGTTTAAATTTTCTTTTGTGTTTTTCAGGGTTTTTTTTAATTTTAATACCAAACAAGTTATTCTATTATTTATTATTTATTTTTACTATTTTGTATTTCTTAAATTTGTTTTTATTTTATTTTATTTTTTTTTGATTAATGTTCTATTCTTGGATTGTTCACATAATATGTTAAATCTTCATTTTTCTTTAATAATTCATTATATTAATGAATTGTTAATTGTTAACAACAGTCACTCTAAAAAGGAGAATATTTATATTTAATTTTTATAATTTTATTTTCAAATAATTTTTGTTTCTAACCATTTGTTATTGTTGGTGTTGGTACTTATTAGTGTAATTTGAATTTGATTAACTAATTGATTCAATGCTTCATCAACAAAGTTTTGTTATAATGAGTGTGAAATAATTAATTAATTTAATAAACATTATCAACTAATGAATTGAAGAAAAGAGAAGTATCTATTAAATATGTAAAAAGAGAATAACGAATTAATGAATAGTACTCTTGTTATTCTCTTTTTTTTTTACAAATACAAATAAGAGAAAGATTTATGAAGTGGTTTATTCGAGTTTAATTGTATAAGTTTTTAACAGTATGAGGTTTGACTCATTTGAAGTATTTTTTAATTCTTTTTTTTATTCTTATTATACTGATAGTTTTTGGTTCATTATTATAAAACCATTTTAAACTATACTAAAGTAGTATTTTCTCAAATAACCGTTGTTAGTCCTATGAGTCTTTCTATTTAAAATAAAGTTTATTTGTTTATTCCTTTAAAAGAAATGTTAATTTTGAATAACAAACATATCATAAATTTTTGAATCTTACCTTCTTTGAACAAAAAAAAGTATCAAATATCAACAGAAATAATTGGATATGAAGTATAATTAAAAACCAATTAAAATCTTTTTTTTTGATTTTGATTCAACAAAATAATTTAAATTTATTTGATAATATTTGTTAGTAAGTAAAAGTTATATTTAAAAAAAACAAATAAGGTATATTTCATTTTACTTTAATTTGTGAGTTATAACTTCATGAAAGAAATATTAAAATTAATATTTTTATTCAATTTAAATGTATTTTTTATTTTGAAGAGATAAAATATTAATGTAATAGTCACATACAATTATAAAAAAAACAATATGATATAGATCTTAACCCATTTTATGGAGTAAATTCATTAAATTAATTATATTTATTATAAGTATTTAATAAAATAATAATTCATTTATAAACATATTCTTATTAGATGTTATTATAGTTTTATTTTATTCATTTAAATTGAAAACAATAAATTATTATTGAATGATGATATAAATAATAATTTTTATTGTATTTATTATTTGTCAAAAAGATATATTTTTATAACAAACATTTGAAAGAATATTTTATTTTTCAATAGTTTTTTGGTTTTTTTTTGAAAGGAATTAAGATAAAAATTAAGAACAGAAGTTGTGAGAAATAAACTTGAACTAAAAAAAGAATTATTCTATAAAATTTGTTGTAGTAATTTAAAAATAAATTAAGTTTATGTTAAAACTGCTTTAAGAACAATAAAAAATAAATGAAAAACAATTGAGTAATTAAAGCATAACACACTTCTTTCCTTTCTTTTCCTTTTTTGAAGATTCATTGCATGATTTTGAATTAGAAGTAGTATTAGAAACGACACATCCATCAAACAATTCTTGATGTTCTACAACTGCTCTTTTCAAAAAATCAGTTAGAGAAGATTGAATATCTTCTTTTTGAGTTAAAGCATTAAATTGAAACAATTTTATACCGTCTGGAAGAAAAGACTTAATTTTTTCTACAACATTGTCATCATCATTTTCATCACTATGTGTTACATACACTAACCTATAACATGGACTATTGTCACCATCTCTATCATTGATATCTCTAAATTGACCTTGTAGAAATTCTCCAGAATCTGATTCAGATCGAGAAGCAACAAGAATATGAATTTTACCTTTAGAAAGCATAGAGTTATTAGTAGTTCTGGCATTTAAAAAAGAATCACCATTACAGTCATTCTATTTATTAGTTATTTTTTTTGATTTAGAATAAATTAATAATAAACGAACAAATGTAAATCTATATCCTACTTTGTTAATTGTGAGTACTGTATTCACTGTATGTTCTTGTTCAGTTTGTTGATATTCTTCACTCACTGGAAGTCCCTAAATAGTGATTATGTGATTTAATAAAAATCTTAAAATGAAAAGATAACAAACACAAAATTGGTTCACAAGGGTTGTTTTACCAACTTTTGGTAATCCAATCATAACTATCCCAACACTTCTATTTTCCATTTAATATTGTTAGTCTCATTTTTAAACTTAAAATTATCAAACTTTTCTGTCATGTTTCTTTTTTATGTTTTTTTTTTAAGTTCTTAATTTTTTTCTATTTTTTTTTCGTTGTAAAAGAAGAATTTTTCATCTTTCACTTTTCTTTATTCAAAAGAAAATGAATTTTGTTAATAAAAAGTATTTATAAATTTCATATCTTTATTTCAAAATTTATTTTAGTTAGATGCTGCAATAAAAAAATACTAAAACAATTTTATTGTTTAAAATTTTTTGTTAAAAACCATGTTGTTAGAATTTTTAAAAAACAATGTTTGATAGTCGAACATACAATGATATAAGGAGGTACTATCATTTTGATAAAAATATATGTCTTAAAAACATGAAAAAAAATATCTTTGAAAAAGAGGTAAAATAAACAAAAATAAATTTATATAAATATAACAGCCAATCTTCTCCAGAAATAATTTTTTAATAAATGAAAAGAGAAATTATTATCAATTTAGTCAGTCTAGTTATGAAGTACTTTCTATTATTCATTCTTTTTAAAAAAGTACTTCTTATTATTTAACAACAGTTATTTTAATTACTTTTTTTGTTTTTTTTATAAATTCTAACCAAAGAAACTTCAACATATGAAATAAATAAAATAAACAATAAATTATTAGTTTATTTATTATATATTCTTTGCTTGCAAGGTATATGAGTAAACGTTAAAACATTTTAGATGAGATATAAAGTTTTTGAAAAATAAAATAATATAGTTAGTAAGTTTTTTCTGAGTTATTAATCATTTTAAATTTACAAAAAAAGAGGAAGTTTAAATTATGTTTAAAATCTTTTTTCAAAAAAAATCTAGCATAAAAGTTTATCAATAATTCTCATTTAAATAAAAGCTCCATA